AGAAGCCTAGGTCTTTTACTTCCGACAGATGTTTTTATTTGAGGGAACAAGGGATGATTGTTGTCTGAAAAGAGGGAATTAATTTTTTTAGAGCAAGCTGTTAAGTACAATTAATTCATCCAAGGGTTTTCCTATCAAACATCTATCTTCTTTATCTCCCCCCTCCTTCTTTTTTGTGTTTGTCACTCTTGTAACACCTCTAATCTTCGGCACTTCTATGACCTAATTATGTTGCAAGTGCCGTAAAACTCTTACTAAAACCTCTTTCTAAAAGTAAAACAATTAGTATTCCTATAGTATCCAAAGGGGGCTAGGGTCATGGACTTCTAGTTTCTATGATGAATGTACCGGACGTGCTGGATACGTCTTCTCTCTGTCACGACTCCGTCCCGGGGGCTCGTGGTTTTTTTTTGTGAGAGAGAGAGAGAGAGAGAGAGAGAGAGAGAGAGAGAGACGTCTTGGTGTTGAAATTAGAGGCCTATATGATTCAAACAATATATATCATGCCCCCGGACCTAAAATGAATCTGGGGAGTTTCAGGGGGAGGGGGGAGGGGGCATCAGAGACTCTTAAATATAATTAAATACTCTCTGGGGGCATCCCCTGAGTTTCACCATAATCGGATGTTTTGGCAGTTACGTTTGGTATTTTCTTGAAAACAATTGATTTGCAAAGGTTTTAGTGACCATATGTCTGTTCTGCAGCAAAACTCATGGTAGTTTAGCTCCCAAAACAGTGCATCTGCTTAAATGGTCTAAAAATAATAATTTACCGAAATAATTATTGTTTGTCCTTTGGTTGGAGAAGGGAGAATAAATCGGGAAGGACCAGGACAAATTTATTGAGCGTCGTCCCCCTTTACAGAAGGGGAGGCGCTCTTCTCCGGAAGTTGACGTTCTGAGTCGAAACATCGGATGGTAATGTGTAATCATCTCAAAATAAGCCATTGCCGTGTGTACACATCTAAATAATTTGCTGTCACCTGTGGTCCTGTATGACTTGAGATAAGGCTGTGGAATTAGAAAAGAAGCGTCATGGCTGATCAGGAGCAAAAAGCAGTTCAGTTGGTTGCTGAGGCAGAGAAAAAGCTGAAGTCTTCAAAGGGACTGTTTTCCTCTCTGTTTGGGTATGTAGTGACAGTAGTGTAGGCTGTTGGTAGGCCTAGGCTTTGTCGTGTGTAAATTGTGTGTGTTGACATTAGACACAGAGAGTGCCTTGTACCCTTGTTAAATGCCAAATGAAAGTTAGTCTTGTGATTGTGCTATGTTCTTTTAGTTTAGTTTTAGTAGAGGTTTTTTACCGTTGCGGCACTCGCAACTGCATAAGGTCATATGATGAGTGAGCGCCAGAAAATTAGGCGCTTTTTCGGTAGTTCCCACCCCGCAATTTTTTTTTGCCCCTCTGACCTAGTAAAATAGGAAGGGGGGTTTCAGGGGGGCATTCCCCCCTGAATTTTACCATAACCATAATTTAATGTTTTGCAGTTGTTAGGTTTGATATCTTAGCTCACCGCGAATCAAACGTATAGATATGTAGGTCAGGCTCAAATAAGGGGGGGTGGGAACTACCGAAAAAGCACCGAAAATTAGAGGTGTTACAAGAGACAGAGAGTAACAAACATAAAAAAGAAGAAGGGGAGATAAAGACGATCATAGATGTTTGATTGGAAAGAAGAAGCAAACCACACCAGAGCACCCGCCAACCACCTACTGCTATGTTCTAGGGCTAAGGGTTTTGTTTTTATTTCTGTAAATAAGGGGTATGGTTAGCTCTAACCCTTGTTACCTGAACTCTGAAGAGAGCAAAAAAGTGGGCCTGTTGGTGGAAAATGGGAAAAGGAAGAGGCTAGCCGTACTTAATGACTTTTTCTTAATATGATGGCTAGACTGACCATTCACCAAAAGTAGGCCTACTGAATTGTAAATATACATTTTTAGTGTGCAGTACCTGAAGTATTTTAGACCTGCATGTTTGCCGACAATCGTCTGAAATCAGACTAATTTGATCATCTTCAAAGATGCTATGGCTATTTCACTTTTCGAATCGAGCGGAACTACATGGGTCGCTATTTTGTTTTGCCCGGAAGTTCTCGCAAGATCACCCTCCCCCCTCTCTCTCTTTCTCTCTCTCTCTGTCTCTTTCTGAATACTGTCTATCGGTGTGGACGATCAAATTGACCAAAATGATATTAAAAAACAAAACTAAATTAATTTGGTTGTCTACAAAGATGCTACGGCTATTTAACTTTCCGAATCGAGCCGAACTACGCGGGTCGCCATTTTGTTTTGCCCGGAAGTTCTCGCACTACTCCCCTCTCTCTCTCTCTCTCTCTTTCTCTCCCTCCACTGCCCACAGACAAAATTGCACGCTTTTAGGCTAACACTAACAGTAGTAATAGATCTAGAACGTTTGTTCACAGCACAGAATTCTATAATTCTGTTATCACAGTGTAGAATTCTGTGGTTCAGGGTGAACGCTTCACTGGTTGGCCTAGGCTATAACGGTGAACGCCCACCGGGTGAGAATAGCCAAAAGACTCGCCTGCGCTATTCTCACCCGGGGTGAGAATAGAGGTGGCCCTTACGGAGATCCGTACTTTATGTTAGTTCCATACTTGTTCTTTTGTCATTATCAACTCCCTCCATAAAAATCTGCGACAACGTAGACCTAGGACTACCAAAATTCCGTAGCAAAAGATCCGTACTCACCTTCGTTTCGTCTTGTATAAGTTGCGGATATTTACGGTAATTCTCTCGGCAATAGTTTATGTTATAGAAACCTGCTAGATTGCGCATTTCCTGCCATGGGCTATTATACTGCTATGCCCCATGCATTCATTGCGGGTTGGTCGGCAGTACACTTTTTAGCTGCAGATTGATCAAAATCTGGCAAACTTTTTGTGCCACTTTCCTCATTTAGATCTAGGTCTACCACTACTTGACCATTTTTTTGTTTCGAAGTGGCTAGTAGTACGGCTAGCCGTACTTACGGCTAGACTGCCAGTCTAGCCGTACTTAGATCTAGGTTTGGCCGAATCGACTCAATCCTGTTAAGTACACAGGTCTCATGAGATCTAGATCTAGTTATTATTCAGGTTCAAATACATGCAAGTCAGTAAGGCACCTTTTGATTTTGTCTGAAATACAAATACTTTAGGCATTGCAAACTAAAATTTTCATTTACAATTCAGCCATCAATATTAAGTACGGCTAGACTGACAGTCTAGCCGTCCTTAAGTACGGCTAGCCTGGCTGTCTACCCGTACTTAAGTACGGCTAGCCGTACTTATCTTAGGCCCTATTTATATTAGAAAACAGGAGGTTTAAAATACATGCACTGTCATTAAGGAACCTGGTTTTGTCTCAAATACAAATACTTTAGGTACTGCACACTAAAAATGTATATTTACAATTCAGTAGGCCTATTTTTTGTAAATGGTCAGTCTAGCCATCATATTAAGAATAAGTACGGCTAGACTGTAAGTCTAGCCGTACTTAAGTACGGCTAGCCTCTTCCTTTTTGTTTCACATTTCATAATAAATCACTGGTGGATGTTTCGAGGGTTAATGACTCAAGGCCAAGATCACCCCCAACAGACACCTGGTTTAGAAATGCACTATCCCAAAAGAAAGGAGAAAAATTCAGACCCCACTGTGCTTCACATCTCATATTTCCTTGTGTTTGCTGGAGTCTTATTTGTTCTTATTTTAGCCGTCCTATTTTATAGAATTTAAGAATGGTTGTTGATTTCATGCCAGTTGTATGCTCATCTCTGAATCTTTTTTATGATGTCTTTTCAGTGGAGGCGCTAAACAAGAAGAAGCATGCGAGTTGTATGTACGGGCAGCAAATGCATTCAAAATGGCAAAAAAATGGCCTCGTAAGTATGAAAATGAAAGAAACTCTTGATGCTGGGGGAGGGGGATGAAGATTCTTTTGATAAATGATTAGAATAAAGTTACATGATCAAGCTTTCTTTGAATCATTAACTTTGCATTTTTAATGTCATTTCTGTTGATTTGTTTTGTTTTGTTTTGTTTTTTTGTTTTTTTACATGCTTGAAGGAATGGGGCTGGTGTACCTCCATATTTGTCACTGATTTTGTTTTCGCCTCAGTGAGCAGTTTGGCCTGCTGGTTTACAATCTGCATCAAAATCTGTTTGAAGCTAGCTTTAGATCAGAAAGCAGGGTCCATTACCAATTATATATTCTTAAGACAGTAACATTGCAGGTAAAGTCGTTAATTATGGGAAATATTTCTGCCTGCCTTTTGTAGGAAAAGAAATTGTAAAGTCAGCTTACACCTCTCTTAAAATCTTATTTGGTCACACATTTCTAGTGGCTTTACTGATAGTACAATTTTTTTTAATGATGTACATTGTTTGCATATTTCTGACAGTTCTTCATGTCTTAGGCGAGAAGGTGTGTGGATTTACACAAAGTAATTAGGGTTCTCACCTCTACCATTTTTTTTACATTCACAGAAGCTGGCCAGGCTTTTGAAGAGTCCGCTCGCCTTCAGCTAGCCATGGGCAGCAAACACGAAGGAGCCACACACTTTGTTGATGCAGGAAACTGTTACAGGAAAGGAGATCCTAATGGTATGAATATGTGACATGCTCTACGTTATGTGTTGTAAATGTATTTTTGAAAGAAATTCATCTGTTCCGTTATGCTGCTTATATAAGGAACTCAGTAAATCAGACAGGAGAAAATATAAAGTGGCCATGTTTGAAGAACGGAAAAAATGCTTCTCAGAGGGTACCAGCTAAAGACAACGAGACTTCTCGTTGGTATGTTACTGTTTCGTACCAATAAAATAATACAATGGAGTCCGCTTAAACGGAAATTTATGAGAACTGCTAGAGTTTCTTCGGTTCAGATGCATTTCCAGTTTACAAAAATTTCTGAAATAGAAGGAAAAATATCAAACAGGGATTTGATTTTCTTTTAGTTTGCTGTTTTCAGAATAACCGTGTTGGATTAAGCAGATTCCACTGTATCTTACTCTGCCTGCCTCCTTGGAAATTGAGAATGTTTTAGCATGTTATACAGTCTGTCTGGGTAGCAATAAATTGTTCGCCTGCAATGTTTAGGGATGAGCTACAGATTGGCGGTTATGTGAGTATAGACGGTGGTATCTCAACAATTTTGAAGGTAATGGGAGACAGTGAAAGCATTGAGAACATTGACCCAAGCAAAGAGGCACTGTAGGGATGCAGTGAAGTTTTGAATAGTGAATGGTATACTGTTTTCATAACTGCACCTGTGTTTTTGATTCAGCTCTTTCTCATTATTGTTATTATAAAAGTTATTGACAGAAGCATTTAGGTAGATACATAATTGCTTATTATGATATCAGATGCAACATTTCCTCTTTCTTTTCAGCTGCAATTGAGGCATTCCACAAGGCGATTGAGATCTATACAGACATGGTAAACATTAGCTAAGTTTTTCTCGAGCTTTTCGCAGACCTGCCAAATACTCTGGTAAAATCAGAGCTGTTTGTTTTGTCCCTCCCCTGTCGAAGAACCCTTATAGGATTTACCTAAAACTAATTTTTTTCCCTTGAATTCCATTATGGCAGGTTGTATAAGACTTTGAGTAAATTATGTGAAGATCAATAGCTTTAATTGCGAGTTATTTACATAATTTATGCAACTTATGGGATGAGCTGAAAATACAAATTTTTATTTATGTTTATTTGCAGCATTTATGTGAGTTGTCATAAAAATATGAAAATACCTGCTTTTATTAGCATGTACAGTGTATTTGCATCGCACATTTATTTGTTATGGTTAGTTATGTAATCTTATTCTATTGGGGTTCTTGAGACTATAATTTTTTTCCCTAAACTCCTGTTTTCGGCCATGGAGTGGTTGGCAGGTTTGTTTACACAGTGTTCCAAAATGTCCCAAGACAATAACTGTCAGGTTTTTATATTCAAATAGTGCACATGGCAGCTCTGATAGCCTCATTTAATTATAAAGATCACTCTAAAGTTGACTAAGGTTTTCTTATGATACAGTTTCTGCCTCATTTGGGAAATTGTATTGTGATGAAATGCACGCTTGCATTTTGTTCTAAAAGTCTCTCTGTTTCTTATGGTCTTGGTAAATTTCCTAATTGCATTATGGAATTTTTGACTGAAGTAATTAATTCACGACATTGAAACTAAAGGATGTTCTTTCATAGTAATTTTTAAAAAATGACACGCAAATATGATGTTCTCATGGGAGACTGTACTGTCATTATGACAGGCAAATTTGGAGGAGACTCCAGTAGCAGAGCGGATGTGTTTCCTTAAGCAAGACATGATAACTAGCTCAAAGACAAGTCGCTACACTCTCGGGACCAGCAATATGGCATTTTGGTAACTGTGATATGCTTTGTATTATATTTGTGTGGTTAAATATATATATCTATGTATGCATAGATCAGAGAGCTAGTAGCTGGAATTGTGCTATTGATATCTATTATCCATTTTATCATTCTCATAGGGCCGGTTTACCATGGCTGCCAAGCACCACATCACAGTGGCAGAAATCTATGAAACTGAGCTGTCAGACATGGAGAAGGTAAGCCTTTATGGAAATCAATGCATATATTTAGAGGTTTATGTTGGAGCCGCCTAATGTCTGCAATCTTCCAGCTCACACTTTGGTTTAGAGCCTCGTATTTTTAAATGATAGATGGAATTGCTGAATTTGTTTGCCTTGGGAGAGTAATGGGAACAATGTTTTATATGTAAAAATTTTTTTAAAGTATGGGGGGGGGGGGGTGTTATTCTCTTTGGATTAGTTAAGTCTTTGGTCCTTTTTGAAGACATCAGGTTAACTTATGAAAAGTTGTTGCTGTTGCATTGAGAGGGAGAAATAAGTTTGACCCTGATTAACACAGTGAGTAAAATAAATTTGAGGGTCTCAGTTTTCTAACGATAAAGACAGTATGCCTTTACCTAAATTGTGGACCATATATCTTTTACTTTTCACCTGGATATTAAAATGGCGAGGAAAAGTTATGACTCCCATGTTGGAAGTGTTGATGGCCATGTAGTTGTGACAGAACTAACATTGTCATATTTTCCCCTTTATCTCTGCAGGCTGTACAGAACTATGAGCAAGCTGCTGATTACTACAAAGGAGAAGAGTCGAACAGGTGAAAGACTAGTACCAAGGGATTTGTTACAGTACTTATGTTGTGTCATTGAGTAGAATGTATTTTGTATGTTACTTATAGTTGTGTTGTACTGTGCTATTGTTGCTGAATCCATTTTGAGGTGGAGGTCTCATTTGCTAGTTATTTAAGATGAGAAAGTCGTGGTTGGAGGCTGGGGATTTTGACAGTTTAACAGCTCCCATAGCAATACTTTTCTGCTGTTATTTTCAAAAATACAGTACATGCAGTTTTTTCAATTTTTTCAAGAGAGCCCCCCCCAAAATGATTATTGTCACCAAGGAAATAATCCCTTTGCAAGCGTTGTAAGTCCATATCTTTAGGAATACAATTTTGATAATAACTTCATTTTCTTTGTTGGCTCTCCTGTAAAATTGTAAAAACTTCATATACTGTATTTTTTAAAGTGAAGGGAGTCTTGACCATTTATTGGGCAGGCTTAGTAAGAGGAATTCAAGGTTCCAGCTGAAAGATGGAAATACTTGGTAAAGTTAAATGTGCATGCCGAAATAGGAATCCTCTTTTTTTCTTGCAATAATAAAAATCGAAATAATTCTAGCAGAAATGGTCTTGAATGTAGTGTCAAAAGGTATTCTTTTTTCCCCCCTTTGCATGTTTGTGAAGCAAAATGGTGAGCTAATTTTCTTTTGTTTCTATTTATCTTCAGCTCTGCCAACAAATGTCTCTTGAAAGTAGCCCAGTTCTCTGCCACCTTGGAGAATTATGAAAAGGCAATTGAAATCTATGAACAGGTGAGGAAAACAACGCTTATGAAATGCTGGTAGAGATGTGCTGAATGACACCTATGGAAATGAACAAAACAAAACATGTTTGAGAAGCTTGGTTTTGCTGGACGTTGGAAGAGCGCCAACAAAAAGAACTGGCAATATGGCTGGAAACCCCTGAGCGTGCTGTGTTGTGTTGCTATTCCCCCCCCCCCCCCCCCCTCCCCCCGTTTTTCTTTTTACAAAATATAATTGTAAATGTCTGGATTCAGTTTAGTGCGTGGGAGGAGAGGAAAAAAAAAGAGATATTACTTGAACATATATTATATGTGTATGGTGTGTTATTTTTTGTTGAAGGGGTACTCTTGTTTTAATGTCACTGTCAGTAGCAGGTAGAAAAATTTCTGACAAGTGCCTGATCTAAAACAGATAAGACCAATCATGGTTGGCCACTCATTTCTCTACCCTCATTCTCTGAAAATATCATCCTCGCCTTCACCTGTCACCCATCTGTTCAAATTCTGTAAGTAAAATATTCTTGGTCTACCTCTTTCATGGGGGAACATATCTGTCGAACTTTGAAGTTTTGTAAATTTCTTTTCTTATCTTTGCATTAAAATAGTAATATAATTTGTCATTCATTTCTCACTGGCTGCTCTTTGTGGTCTTCTTTCAGGTTGCAATGTCCAGCATGGACAATTCCCTGTTGAAGTACAGTGCCAAAGACCACTTCTTCAGAGCTTCCATATGTCAGATGTGTATGGATACGGCCAATGCTCAGCTCGCTATCAAGAAATACGAGGAAATGTTCCCTGCTTTTGGTGATTCCAGAGAGTGCAAACTTATAAAGGTGAGTGGGCGCCTCGTGTGGTGAACAGTTGATTGTTCACTCCTTATAAAGCAAAGAGGGGATGAAGACAGCTTTTGATTAATTGTCGATCAGTTTGGCAGCAGCTGTTGTAACGTAGACATTTTTGTGTACCCTCATTCTTATGTGTGAGATATCTTTTATCAGTCTGGTTTCATGAGAAGTGAAATATGGCTTTCTTAAATAAGATTGATCTTCCCTGGTGGGGGGGGGGGGGGGGGAGATATAGTAGCACGCTTTGCCAATTGTCTCAAATTTCCTGAGATTGTCCTGGACTCGGCAGCTATCAATCTGAGAGGAAGCTTATCATGTACAGTACACCAAAACCAGTCCCACTTGATTGAGTTTTTGCTCTTTGTTACATAGTCTAGTCTTATAACGTGATTGGTTTGTGGGTGCTCTGGTGTGGTTTGCTCCTGCTTTTCAATCGAACATCTATCGTTCTTATCTCTCCTTCCTTCTTTTTTTGGTGTGATTTTTATTTTCTTTTAATACCTTATATTCAGCATTTGTATGACCTAATTGTGTTGCAAGTGCTGTAAAACTCTTACTAAAACTAAGCTAAGTCTTATATGGTTGGGTGTCCCTGGTTGGGTTTTGAAAAAGCTGGCAAACCTGTAGTAAGGAGGGCACCAATTTCTCTGCCATTTTTCTATGAGTGATTATTATTTTGCAAGTGCTTGTCTCACTTGTATTGCAGCGACCAGCAATGGCAGTATTTTGAGTTCATTGTAGTTTTTGGGTTTTTTAAAACGTTTTTGTGATGTTGGTGCTTTGAATGTATAGTTTTATCTTTGTATATTGAATTTCATCAAGAGTAAATGAAAATGGTGTTTTATTTCCCTTTTTTTTCCTGTACTTTCTTTGAACTTTTTTCTCTCAGATTCAGTGAGATTAATTCTTTTGAAGAGCTCATCTTCAATTTTTTTTTCTTCTATTTATTCAAGAACCTTTTACAAGCTGTAGAAGATGACAATGTGGACCAGTTCACTGAGGCGTTGAAAGAGTTTGACAGCATATCACGCTTGGATCCCTTCCTGACTACCCTTCTGCTCCGAGTGAAGAAGCAACTGAACGCTGAGCCAGAGCTGTGCTGAGATCATCAGCAGAAATTGAGGATGTGATGCCTGTTTGTGTACCATTTGCAAGTCGTATTGATTCTTTTTTTTTAAATTAAAAGAAAGCGACCATTCTCTTATTACATAGAAAGAAAAATGTAAGAAAATGGAAGTGAGTCATTCTGGTCTTCCAGAAGGAAAATGTATCATTATCTAACTGCAGTTAAATTCCGGTGATCATAAAGGAAAATTTAAAAGAAAACCGAAGCAAACATCCTTGGACTAGATAGAGGGGCTGAAGCCTTAGTGTGTGTGGTTGTTCCGCAAAAGTAAATGTCATCTGGAGTTGATTTAGATATGGTATGTACTTTTCATTTCATGAATGAGACTTGGCTACGTTGCCCACCTTATTATGTGCAATAGTTACAGGGTTTATCACTGATAACTGGGAAGTGAAGAATTTGGAAAGGAGGTTCATAAATATTTTGAATACCGGTTCATATTTTTATGTGGACCAGGGAGGATAGGAAGACATCTGGAGAAAACTTGCAAGAGATCGTAAAGATTGTGGAGAATAAAAGAGCTCCCTCTCCCAGAATGTGTGCTATGATTTGTGGGTGGAGGATGAGTGAGAGCGAAGGAAAGAGGGAAAGGAGGTAGGCTACATTGCAAAGATATTGAAGACAGGAGCAAGATTGTAGATTGCTCTCAGGGTTTGTGACTGGCTCAAGCATTACGTGAGTGATATGACAGGTGTGTATACGTGAAGCTGAGGATGCTGTTTTCTTCTCTTGTAGAAGTTTTCCATGTTGTCCTTTAGTGTTAGTTCTGTCTCATGCAGCTGCCGGATGCTAAGAGTACAGATGATTATAATTAGAATTAGTGGAATACAAGTTGAAGAGAATTGTTTGTCTCTGTTTCTATTACTCTCCATGCCTTGTGATATAACTGTTTCTCGTAATTTCTGTACATAATATTGTTTCACTTGGAATATAAGTTTGAAGTTTGTGTATGCTCTTTCAAAGTGAAGATATCTGCTTGAGAGGATGGGATTTTTGCAATGGCATTTTTGAAACTTCTAATTTCCCTTTTTACCTTTTAAGTGTTTATGGCCTTTATTAAGCTGAGCTGTGGGGGTCAGGTACTTTTAGTTTACCATCTGGCCACTGCGTTGGACTTTAGAGTTAAATTTTTTCTAAACTTCAATATCATATATTGTGAGGTGTTGAAAAGTGAACGTTTTGCAATAGAAGTGCTAAGCAGACTGATCACTTTATGGTATACTCAGTACAGAATTTGTAAGCTTTAGATTTTTTTTAATCTGCACTGTGCACTTGCCCTTTAAAAAGTACTGCTTTCAAAATAGTAGATCATATTTTAGTGACATATAATTTTATTTTCTGAGGTCAATGATAGCAGACCTGTCTGTCGACTTTGTTGAAAAATGTTGCTCACCTAAAGATGATTGAAATAAGCTTACGACATAATTTTTCTATCAAGCCCATAAGATTGCTTAGCTGGCAGCATTTTTTCTCGCAACCTGTTCACCTTAATTAAGAGTGTTCTTAACAGTGACCTACTCTTTACAGCTTATGCAGACAGAAAGGATAAAAGAAGCAATGAAAATCACTCTCATGCACTCGGATTGCATTTCAGATTTTGTGCATTATTCCTTATCATGTTGATCAATCTCTCTATGGTAGAAATATTGTAATTCCTTTTTACAAATTGAAGTCCACACTTGCAAACTCTTGACTGCTTGAGAAGCTCCACGCTAAATGTTGTTTTTGGTTCCACCACACGCTCTGTATTTTTGATATTGTGATTCCACTCTTTCCTGACTATCCAGATGGATGGGGATTATGTACGTTCCAGAATGATTGCTTCATGCGAAATAGTTTCATCTTTTCCCTTGTTATAACTCATAAAAATGATGCATTGTTTTCATCAGTTTGATAATTTCTGAGAATTAAAAAAAAAAACTGAATGTAGGTGGCGATCATATTTTCATCATTTACTGTTGTTGGAGTGCATGATGCTCCTGTTTTCTTTTTCCGTTTTTGACTGTCTGAATATATTTCTTTAAAAACACTTGTTGGTTCTTAAGTTTTCTGTTGTTAGTACATAATTAAATGAATGAAAGCTGGAAACATTTTGCTGAAGCAATTCTGTTGTCACTGCAGGCCTTAGTATTCTGTCACATGCTTGCCAAATAGTTATGTGTTGTGCATTGAGAACTAGTAAAGTTAAAGTTCAGAGATTGTCAATTGATACAATGAAATATTTGCATGCACACTTCAATGTTAGCATAGCACCTGAGAAAATACCACATTTTCGTTTGTACTGGTCACATGTACAATGGATTTTCTTCAATTTCATAGATATTTCCCAGAATTGCTAATACTGTTCATTTGTACCGGGAGGGGATGGATTTTTAGTTTAACACTTTTTTAAAAGCAAGTGGTTAGTACTCTTATTTCTGAGACCTACGTATAACTTTATTCTCATTCAATATTTTTTCCTCTTTTGCTTTATTGTTCCTTAAGACCTAGAATTGAAATGATGTTTAGCATGTCATCTGGGACTTTTTTTCTTTTTGTGTTATTGTCTTCGGCCTTCATGAATCTGTCCATGCTATTCAGTACCCAGATTCCTTTAAATTTTTCTTAAGATTTGCCCTAAGATTTTTTTATTTCTTCCCTCGCTGCTGCTGCTTGTAGTAAATTGTAATTATTCTTGCTGTGTTTACAATGCTCCCAGTTATGTCAAATTTAGGTGTCTTGTCTATCGTTATTTTTAGGAACTAAGGAAAAAAGTAGAGATGTACAATGTACTTCGGATGATATGACTTTATGCCTAGGTTTATATGTTTGTTTCCAGGAAAACTTCACTTTTCCTTTATTTTGTAAAAAAAAAATACTCAGGTTGTTGGAATTGCAATCTGGCTTTCCCTCTTTATTTAAGTCCGAATTTTAAATATGGAATGGTTTAGTATGCGAGTCCTGGTGTTTGAATGTGTCTGAGCATGTGGATACTCAAAGTACATTCTTGAAAAACCTTATTCTTTGTGCAGCAAACTGTATCCAGGCACTGTATCTAAATGCTGGCCCTGGCCAATGTGATTTTAGGTCTAAAGTTATTTTGTATTTTTATTATTACTTGTTCGTTTTTTGTTTTTTTGCCGTTACCAATTCGATATATTTCCATACTTCTCAATATAATATATGTTTTGGTGTTTTTTTTCAAATAGTCAATGTCAACATCAGACTTTAATAAATAGAACGAATGTCATGCGTGGATAAATTTTCCAATCATTTTTCCTTTGTCATTTGCTTTTCACTGGTTCACAAAGAAAAACCACATCTAGTAGTGATGGCAGCCTGAGGATAATGACTGTACTCAGTTTTGTGGACTAAAGAAAGGGAGTTTTGTCTTGAGCTTCAACACAAGTTCTTGCTTTGCTGTGTAAACAATTTGCTTGCTTTGACCTTCTCTCCTTGATATCCTTAATATCATAAATTAACAGACTGAAATTCAGAAGGCAAGTGTCTGATTCGGGGCATTAATGTTTAATACCGTATATTATGGTTTTTGATGCAGCCGGAAAGAAAAGATTTCATGTTTTAACAATCCTTTTAATTTTAAAGAGCTTTGCATACAATGTAAATGTATATTTTCTGCTAGTCATAATAGCCATTATAATTTACAGGCTTCATGAGCAACTTATTTCATATTGCCAAAGCAAGAAATAAAGTTGTGAGGACCCCGGACTGGCTGGTTTATACCCATTTAACAACTTTGATTAGGTGTTTGGTAAAATTTATTTGGCTTGTTACAAACTAGATGAGATTTATTAAGTGATTCTTTGTGGAATTTTGGGGCATATATGGAGTTTATGGTATCATAAAGCTTTTTCATTTGTTTTGCTTTTGGTGAGAAAAAGTTCCCATCTCCTTTGAATTGAAGTCCAGAAATTTGCAATTTAGGGAGATGGTTTTTGTCTGGTGTTTGGGTTAAAATTAGGTGGGGAAAGGCTGCCAAAATTTGGCAACTTTCATAGCATAAGTGTCCTTGGAAACTACAAATTTACAATCTTGTGCCTTTCTTCAACATGTTTAAGTAAAATCCACAGAAATATGTTCATAAACTTAAATAGACATTAAAGGTGTTGAGTAAAGATAAACACTACCCACCAGTACCTGACTGAAAGATATCAGTTTTTCCAGTTTCATTATTTGGATGAGCACCTGTTTTCACCACGATGCACATTCTATGACTTGTTTCAAAAGACACCACAGATAGGTTTTAACTATATTACAATACTTCGATACATAATGAACATAATCGCATAATTTCAGTGAAAGTGTTCCGTGCAGTCAATTGTTCATCAGCCTCTCAGTCTCACTGCCTCCTTGTCTCTTACTTTCTTGTTGTGACTAATATATGTGCCAAAGTTTTACTAGAGAGTCACATACAAAGAAAAGGAGGAGGAGCGATAAGGACGGTAGATATATTTGATAAGAAAGAAGGAACAAACCCCTCCAGAGCACCAGCTAACCACCCACTCTGCAGTGGCAAACTTTACTTCTCCATCTAGTCTTTCTCTTTACATTTCCTGATGCTGACATACCTAGGTTGAGTTGGAGAACTGCATGGAACTCACTAAAGTCTTTAAAAGATGGGGGAGGGGGGGAGGAAGTCGGACACCACAGAAATGAGAGTGAAAAGTAAAGTAAAAGACACAAGACCTACAAGTAATGCAACAACACGAAATATCTCGACGTCAGTGCTAGTACAGTAGTCTCCGCCTAAACGCACGCCATACAAAAGCACGCTCCGCTCAAACGCACGCTTTCGTCATCTGACGGGTTTTTTACTATATGATTTAGACGTACAAACGCACGGTCACTCCCTCTAAACGCACGCTCCGATCCGCGAAACACGCTAGCTTGACAAAGGGAAATTTCCACTACAACAACTTTTGAACCTGCACAGCCTGCTTAAGACAAGCCTAGATAATTGGTGAGAGTGCCTCTCACGCCTAACAAAGAGAGTGATGAAGAGCGTTTTCACATCCAACTTTCCATGGACACATAGGACTGGCCGGTGAAAAGTTGGGGGGGGGGGCTGAAATGTTTTTTGATTGGACACTGGAAATGTCGATCTATCTTTGAGAGAAGGTTTCTGACTGGTGTTTGGGTGACAGCGAGTAATGTTTAGTTAGACCTAGGCCTGATGCGCAACACGTGTAAATGCCGTAAAACACTAGACAGGCCTCTACAGGATTAAAGATTAGCCAAATAAGCCTAATAATCAGCAGCGCTCGAAGAACGTACTTGTTCAACGAATCACAAGAGATGTTTCTCTGAATGTAGAGAATGATTCTGCTTGAATTTACGATCGGGAGTGGTCGCTTGGAAAGCCATGTGGATGGTCCGTCGCTTCTATGACTATGACTATCACCAACAGTTTCCTCTTAGGCTATCTGTTCCCGACGTTTCTAGTCCATAGTCATTACATTGAGTCTGTCTTTCTTCCCCCCCCCATTCTACGCCTTTGTATTCTTAAACCCAGTTGGGGAATCCCTTACAAAACAGTCACGTGTCATCACATATTCTGCCAAAATGATCCCCTCTCTCCAAGGGAGGTCACTAGAGTAATAAGGAATTGAGATGACTGCGTCCCTTCCTCCTCTTGCAAAGGTTAATGTAAACGCACGCTCCGTATAAACACACGCTAAGGAGCCCCTCCCATGCACTGTGCGTTTAGGCAGAGACTACTGTAGTGTCAAATAAACTCCAAAGTCAAGTGATTGAAAAGAGTAAAAAAAATAAATAAGCTTTCAAAACCAAACTTACAAACCAGACAAACATTTAAAAACAGTGTCAAGAACACATTTCAAACGGCCGCTTTATGCACCATACTTTAATGACATCCCCCTCAATTTGTTGACATAGATCATCAATGTGAATGTACACAGTGAAGTGATGGCATTGTTCAGTGAATGACGAATACAGTAAATGTCGGTCATACCAGGTATCTTTTGTCTTTCTTCAGTTCTCTCAACAAGGCAAAATAGCAAAGTCCAAAACACAATGACTACACAGTGTACAGTCATCACAAAAAACATCCATCCCAACTCAAACTTACAAGATTACAACCACAACATCAATCTTTGCTATCCAAATCCAATACAATGATTAATAACGTAGCACCCAAAAAGTCATTCTCTTTTCTAACATTCTAACAAGCAGTTACATGTACTCCTGACAAGCTTTGTTTTGTACAGTATAATATCAGACAACAAATTGCCTTTTCTTTCTCACACATTCCTATGCTCAAATATCCAGGGCATACCACATGATAATAACAGTTGTTAAAAAATTCAAAGAGAATACCAATCGCAAGAAGAAAGAAGACACTGAAGAGCTCCACATTTCTACAACTGCAGATTTGGCTCCAGAGTCTTATTTGAGGCCATGACCTCTAGAGACACTCCCCAAATAATTAAACAACATAGATCAACAGAATGGATCAAGCCTCCAAGGTATGGTGTGGTTTAAAAGCCTTCAGGTAGGACCTCTACCAAATGTTACATTTATGGTTTGTCTCCGACACTGATAGTGCCCACCCAAGTGAGTGGAGAGCCTTCAAACTCCCAAAATAACCAACATTCAAGAAAGCCCTGTTGAGGATTTGAATTTGAACAGAAATTTGCAAAATGTCAGAGCCTCCAAAAAATGACCCTGGTCTTCCCATATAAACCGAGGAAAAAGAATAAAAAAGGTCCACAATATCCCTCCTCCCTTAATACTACCTACTGAACTTTCTACTTCATATATATATATATATAATACATATGTAAGAAGCTCAAATTCTTTTTTTTTTAAATGTACACAACTAAGGCTGAATTTCTGCTTTTCTTCTATAAAACGGATTACATGCAGAACAGCGATATGTTCGATTCTCAGGATGATAAAAAAAACAAGCACAGCATTTTTACCAAACTGCTGAGTTTTCTCATCTCTCAAGCAGTTAAAGATTTTGTATATGGGATGACAGAGTTGATCACAAGTTTAGTAACACAGTAACATGGTAAAAATGTACAGAATGTTATAATTGTACAGTGATCTGGCACTACAGTCAGCCCAGCTGAATGCAAGATTATTCACAACTTGGTGAAATTAAGGGCATTTGCACCAACTTTCATACTAAATCATGCAACATTCATACTATTCATAGTATGGATTTTGATAGAAATCCCACAATGGTATATTAATATAACTAAAGTACATTCTACTTTCAATAAACTGCAAAAAATTAATACAACTGAACAACTGCGCACTATCAATTCTCTCTATACAATTCCACTGAAAAAGGCTGAAATACATTACTGCAAAAATGACCCTGCGAGTCCATTTCGGGTGGGACCCACAAAGAGAGGAAGAAACTACATGCTGTAACAGTCGTTCAGTCACCAAGACTGCCATCTCATCTTGCCAAGAATAAACAAAGACAATTTTTGCAGTGAAAAAATCAACAAAAGTAGAAAACCCTGACAGAGTTCCCACAAACAACCAGCTGTTATTTTTTTGTTCACATAGTTTTAAAGATAAAGGTAGCAGTAAAAAAGAAGATTCAATTTTCAAAAGGTGGAAGAAAATAAGTTAACACTCTAGAATACCGGTACACCTCAAGTTTGTCAAAACCCAACGGGTATACCTAACTTTTTATTCTTTTTACTACATTTCAAAATCTCCCTATCCTTTAACTACCATCCAACCTAGCTTCAACTCTTGACCTAGTAGCAGAGGCTAACAGTAGCAAATGTCACCAGAGCTGAGACTGCCAATATTATACACAAATAATAAAATGAAAGTCATGAAGTGGCCATCCTCTATCCCTTACCCAAAGGAATGACCATTTGTCAGTGACAAATGACATTTTTTTACGCAAGTGCAGTTACTCGCACATCACCTGCCTCCATGTACTCATCTCTATTATACATGTGTAGATTGATAAGGGAGCTCTAATGGAAAGTCAGGCACAGCATTCACTTCAGTCGGTAACAACAAAATTTATTCTGTGATGACTCAAAGAGCAATCTCTTGACAAATTGTATGTCCTGGGTGAACTTAGTGGCGTCGGTGGTCTAGTGGTCAGGCAGTTGGACTTGCAGCTGAAAGGTCGTGGGTTTAAACCAAGTCAAAAGCCCGATGTTGTATTGGGAAAGGCACTTTACACAATTTTTTCTCACTTCATCCAGGTGGGATGGAGTATCTGGTCTTAGATAGCGAAATATCTTGTCAATTCGTTAGTGTTCGAGTGCTTATAGATGGATGCTTGCAGTGTATGCTTCCCTGGAATCCAAAAATGTTTCCTGAGTGTTCTAGAGTCTGTTGGAGGCAGGGCCATGGATTTTACTTCCATCTTTGCTAAGACTGTGCCAAGCAGGTGGAGAGCCACAATTCCTCAAAAATACAACAGCCCAAGAACATGAACTCTTTGTAAAATATTCAGACAAGGGCAGCATACACAAAGACCAAGCATGATACAATTGTTTGAGCTAAAAAGAGTCCGGAGACTAACTTGGCAGCCAGAAAGGTATGATACATACAAGCCTGGCTTGAGACCACAACTGCTACAGTTTCAGCAGACAGTTGAAAAGTACATCTGTTAATTCAGGTTCTACCAATCCTGTATGTTCCCTCTTTGTCCCCATACAGCATGTCATCAGCAAGCTGTTCAACTGTTCTGTCCAGAAAGTAAAAAGTGTCAAGAGAGAAAAACAGTTTCGGTTCTTTTAAAAGTTGTACCTACATTACGTACCTTTATTGGGTTTTTTTCATCTTTTAGAATTTGAATTTCAACCACACATTTACTGAGTATGTGCTACTGAAACCACAGATTAAGACACTGCAGTAAAAATGCATTACAAAATTTTGGGCTTGGATCTTGTACACCTGAAGCGCCGGTAGATGATGGGACCTTTGTTGTTTCTGGGCTTCTTTTCCTTCACTTCAGCAAACACATGCAACAACCCACGGATAGTCAACCCTAGGTAGTTCAAACCACAAAACAAAGGCATTTACCAATATATACTTGGCCTACTTTGTTGCCCCTCTTTAAGGTAGTTGCCTTTTTTTTTCAAATGACCTCCAAGTTTTTTACATACTAAAGTTTATTCCATTTTAGGTCACAGCTAATGAGGAACTTCGATCTCTCTTCAATCAAAAAAGGCCTATACATCTCTGAAGAATGCAAATACCTCCATCTATTTTATCCCTACTAACTATATCATAGAAGAATTGGTTTTCTCTTGAATTTGGCCCATGAAAGACGAGAGGAAAAAAGTTTACCAACTATGCCTGCAGAAACTAAAGCCTTGGAAAAGAAGGTTTATGAAAACCTAACTTCAGTCTAAAAAGCACTGAAAAACCAAATTTTAAAATCAATTCATTAAAAACTAAACTAATGTTTTGGATGTGCTGGAATTCTCTGTCATCACGCAAATGTTTCCTTTACTACCCATCCTTCTTTTCCATGATATCTCAGAAGACAACATGACACCAATATCCTCAGAAGAAAATTAAATAAGAAAGCTCCACTTTCAAATCCTACCTTCCCCCATCAGCTCTAAAATTCCTTCCTCAAGCCCAAACTTTGAAAGAAAACCGAACCCCAGTACCCTTTACCCACACCTCTGACAATATTTTGCGAGCACAGCCCACAAAGAATGATGGAGTCATGTACAGGACTCCTAGTCCTAGAGAGAAAATCTCAGGAAGAAAGAAATAGAATGTGTATGCAGTGACCCTCAAACAATTTCCAGCACAAAAAAGAAAAAAAGTCTTGAACTCTTAGCGCAACACACAGTTGCGCCAGAAAATACAGTCTATCATGCACGTAGAAAAATTAGAAGAGCGTGGAAATTTTTTCTTTATATACAAATTTGGCTATGTACTTGTTTTACATACAAAGAACATACGAGTATAAGAAAAAATTTGGGACCTCAAAATATGTTCACTATGTGCATGTTTCGCTATGTGCATGTAGACTGTAACAAGTTTTTGATCCCCTAACAGAAAGCACAGAGTAGAGAGAAGAACAGTCCTTCCTCCTTGCCTCCTCGAGGCCATCTCTCTTGCCACATTTCATGGGTCGTCACTTGGGGGCTTGGGCTGGCTGTCGGCGCCGTGAATCTCAGGCTGGTAAGTCATCATCACAATCAGAACCCACACGTGGAGCAGAGCCTGTTGGACATGGGGAAGGGGGTAGGTGGGGCAGAAATCACCATGAGTTGTAGTTTGCAGCAAGTCTGCATGACAACGAGCACATTTCAGCAAGTGACAGTTTATGACAGGAGTGTAGTACTCAACCCATGGCCCTAAACTGATTTTATAGCTGCCAACTTTTCATTACCAAAAAAAACAGATTCTACAAAACTGGTGGGTCAAGATGGTTGGTATTTACCATGAATTCAAAAATACTGGAAAGAAATAATAATGACCACACTAACCCACTGACCAACTCTTGAGAGGCAAATGAACACCCAAAAAAAATACAATGGAATTTTAAGCCTGGACCATGAGTGGAAATGATATGGACGGTGAATCCTGAGAATCGTAACTCTCTGATTATCCAAGTCCAGACACTGACAAAGAAAAAAAAAAACAGGGATCAAATAGGAGGGAGACAGGGCAGACAAGCCAGAGCCACATTTGACTAAGAAGGTTCCTCAACAGCTGGTGCTCCTGTGAGGGTGACTAGCCTATAAGAGTGAGAAAGTATCTACAGAATCCTGAAAACTTTGAAACCCAAAAGGTACTCTGGAAAATATAACACTGTTCCCCAATCAAAGGCAAGGTTTGTAATTGTCAATATTAGGTAAAATGTGCCATCAGTTTTGAGATCGTCATTTTTGAAGTCCTTTCAAGGACAAACCCCCCCCCCCCCCAGTATTCTCCTGCTCTTCCACCAGTACTTTTCTCACTGTCTCTATAGACCATAGCTGCCACTCAGGAATTTCAAAAAAGGAGGAAATTCATGCGAAGGCGGACGCGCACTCTCCGAAGGCCGGAGTAAAACCAGTGAGATCCAGAGGCAATATATACAGGAAAATCTAGCCTATGGTTTTCGAAGGGAAAACTGTCATATTTATTAACCATAGGCAACTGGATTAAAATGCATTTGAAAAAAACAACAACAAAAAACAAACAAAAAAACAACAAAGGCACTAAGTAGACTACCTAGCATTTGAGTCAATTTGACACAGTTTGGACTTGGTGACTAAAAATCCAGTGTTTGTTGCAAGCTGGTGTCTTATAAAAAGATTTCTTTCACTTTAAACTTGTACATCGATGTAGAGCGCGCGCAGTATTGGATCAAGGAGGCAACACCTTTGCCGCTGTACTGAGCACTCCTGTACAATTGAGGTCCCATTTGCACTTAACTTAGTAGTCCCTCTGTAGAGTGTAGATCTAACCTGAATTAAAATTATAGCCTAGGCTATCTAATCTAGAATCTAGATCTAGAAATCTAAATATGAGTAAATCTAGATTATATTTAGAGATAGATTATCTAGATCTAGATTCACTTCAACAGCCACAATAGCCGTCATGTAAACAAACGGGACCGCAATTGTACAGGAGTGCCGCGGGCCGCGATTTCTTTATCGCACCAAACGCAAAGTGCAGCACGCGGAGCTCCTTTTATTTTTGCATTCTGCATCAATTTCTCACGAATTTCCGCCGTTTTCAATGACAACTCGGCGCACTAACGTCCCAATGCCAGATCGACACTTTGTTGCTCCACAATAAACAAAGTGAAACTAACGCTAGGCCTAGAAGAACGGAAGTAGAAAGCTAAGGGCGGACATGCGCAAGCTGCGTTTTCGTCTCTCTCCCGGTTCGGTGTTTTTCGTGTATAAAAAAGTATCGCAATTTGCGACCGAGAGCGGTCCAGCGTGAGGAAGGAGGAAAGTAGCGGGAAAAGCTCGATGAAGCGGAGTTTCCGCTATTTAGCGGGAAAGTGGCAGCTATGATAGACAGGCCAAGCTGTACTCACCATATAAAGAATCACAAACACTCTGGCCATGGGATATCTCCTGAGGAAGACACCAAGACGTATGCTGAAGCCGTCGATGGAGTTTGCTGCCCTCTTCATCCTCCTCGTCATCTCATGGTCAGATGGTACTTCTCTCAGGAACATAGGCAAGCGGTGTCTCACTGGAAGTAGAAGCAAAATTTTTCACTATCCAAATTCTACAATATTTTTTGCTTCCTTTTCAGTCATTTTGAGCAATGAAAAATACTGGAAACTTAAGACTATTGAAAAAACGATGGTACTTTACTTCACAGAAGGGTAGGGGAATCAATAGCTTGGAGGTAGATGGCTCGAAGAATTCAAGTGCATGTTCTGAACAGTAAAGATTTCTTGGCCCGCTGAAAGCCAAAAAAGAGAGGCTTGCCCCTGTCTGAGCAAATCTTTTCAAAACAATCCCGTTTTTCAGGGTAGGCCATTTTATAGGAATAATGAGAGAACCAGAGAAAACAGCCTAGAGAGCCTTAGCTGAAAGAGATCCTTCAAATTAGAAGCAAAAACAACCAACAGTAGAAACCCTGAGATCCAGAGGAAGTTTGCAGAAGAACAATAAAAAGATAAAGGAAAGAGTCAGTACTGGAAATAGCACCATCAGATTACGGTCATTAGGGCTGAAATAAATTATAATTTCATAATCAAGTCATGTTGCACATGAGGTAGAAAAAAATGTCTTGACTTCCTTTTTATATGTGTTACCAATGAGCACACCAAAGACATGGATTTCAGTTAGAAAATTGATACATGTACTAACAAACGAATATTAATCATCCCTCCACTGCCACATCATTTAATCTGTGACTGTAACAGGGAAACTAGGACACTGCCACAAAGATGTTAAGTTTTTCCCAAAGTAGAAATGCAATGGGACAACAGATAAATAATTTAGCTACAACTGTGGTAATATTTCTCTTTGACAAAGCCCAAACTACTTATGCAAAGCATCTTGATTTGAGAATGTTTTGTCATGGCAGCTACCCACAAGTTAAAATCAGGCTCAAGATGGTCTCACACTCTTGAAGGGGTCAAACAGAAATCTAAAAAAATATTTTAATAAGAGCTTCTCCAGGTCTTAATAAACAAAGTATAAGGTAGAAAAAGACATCTACTAAACAACATAACAAAATGATTCACTCATCGAACTCCATTGTTTCAAGAAAAAATACAAAACCTTGATTTTCTCAATACTGCATTTCGGACTCCCCAAATTTAAGTGATTAAAACTTTAATCAAACTATCTTGACTAATACTGTTTTCTCCAACTTGAAGAGCTTGAACAGATCTTAAATTTGATACCCAAAGTGTTAAATAATATTATTGTCAAAAAGGAAAATTTGACTGATATTGCCGTGTTGCTACATCTAAAAACCCGACGTGCACATACCGTCATCGTCATGATCGTTGACTGCCACCATCTGTGTGCCAGCTGGTGGGCGTGGAGCAGCACTTTCCATGTCCCTGAACTGTTGCTAGATGAAAGACAAAAGAACAGCATTTCAACCACAGACAGATCAAGTACACAAGTTTCCATTGCATAAAATGACCTACTCAGCAGTCTAATCAAAGAGCAAGAAGTACTTAAGATTTGTTTTAAACTGAAGAAAACAGATCAAATTATCAAACGGTCACCTGTCCAAGACAATCACCACTACAAATGACCGCTTCCTACTTCCTTCTTTCAATTAAAAAATGTTTTTAATATAATGACACTGTACAAGTCGTCCACCTGTCTAAGATAAGTACTTTTCTCTGCAACAATAGGTGGCTGTCTTGGACAATTTCAACTGTAAATACACCAAATGTTGCTTCCAGTACAGTAAATGGATTTCATCCTTGTTATTTCAATCTGATAAAGTCAATAAAATTCCCTCTGCAGAACATTATTGGTGCAGACTGAAAAAACATATGAGCCAGCCAAAAGTCATGACATAAACCCATTTCATTGACCAAGTCAAAGGTTGGAAACACTTAAATTCAATAACCGCTCTCAGCCAACTGAAAGTAATCGCACAGCAAATACAGGCACATTATGTTCACAAAAAAGCCCTCGTGTATTTAACCAACCTCACTCAAATGTATGTTCCACCAAGATCTCTAGGCTCAAAAGATTAATCTCTTAGGAGAACCTCAAGGAAGGAAGGTCTAAGAGAGAGAGAGAGAGAGGGGGGGAGGGAGGGAGAGGGAGGGAGAGAGAGAGGGAGGGAAAGGGAGAGAGAGAGAGAGGGAGAGGGAGGGAGAGAGAGAGGGAGAGAGGGAGGGAGAGAGAGAGAGAGAGACAGAGAGAGAGAGCAAAATCATGCAACCATGAGTGATTGTAGGTACAAAACTACATATCTATCTTTCCATGTCCCAGAAAGAGAGAAAGAGAATAAGGTCGTGCAACCTTGTAAAGAAGCTAGTAAAAACTCGCAGCCATTATTTCCAGCACAAATTTTAAAAGTTGACCCTGTCTAAAAAAGCCATGGACAACGAGAGGAAAGGACAGAAATAACTAACCTCCATTCTCTCCAGTTGAAGAACAAGAGAATTTTTCTCAGTACTCAAGGCCTCCAGCACTGTCTGTTTCTGAATGAGACTTTCTGTGAGTGAGCGCACACGAGACTCAAGCTCCCCTTCTGTGCTGCTGCTCATGCTTTTTGTCATCAACTGATTTCGCAGTTTTTCAATCTCTGATTCCCGATCGTTGATTCGAGTCTGGAATGCTGTCTTCTGTTTATGCAGCTCCTCTATTGAGTACTGTAGTTCCTACATGTGTTGTTCAGCAGTAGAAAGGAAATGCAAGTCTATTAGCCATCCATCAAATTAAACCTGTAACACATATCTTAAAAATCAGTCAAAAACCAAATAAAATATTTAAATAGCATTTTCATTTTTTATCATTGCATTTCTTACAGGTATATACTCCCTTCTAAAAATAAAAAAATTCATACCAGTAAGGAATGTTCTCCAACAAGCACAATTGTAAGACAGCTTACAAAAAATATTTGCTTGCAGAATGAATGCATGGGTCAGTGGTTCAAAATGATAAACCATTGTTGTTTCACAGACAGAGAAAAAACCCAAAAAAATTTCCCTCTTCATATTGAGAAATACACAAACACACACTTATACAAAAAAATAAACACACACACACACACACACTCACACACACACATGTACATACACGCAACACACACCAATACATGTAAACTCTCAGAGCTTCATACCTGTTTTTGAGTCAGCAGCTCATTCTCAGCGTCCTCCCTTCTCCTTTTCTCATCCCTCAGGGAGTCCTCCAGAGACCTGATTGTCTCTTGTGAAGTGTCACTATCCTGTTGCAGCTGATTTTCCACATCCTGTGAAGATGCGAGACAAGAATTTTTAGCAACATCAGAGTTGTTTAGCTTTAGTAAGAGTTTTAAAGCACTTGCAACACAATAAGGTCATATGTGCAAACTTCCAGAGTTAGGCTGTAAGGTATTAGTAAATGCTTGTGTAATCAAAAGATTGTGTGTTTAATTTAAAACATCCATTGGCAGGTGTTTGTGTTCTGAAGGAAAGTACTTCACTTCATTTTCCCTCATTCACCATATTGAAAATGGGAACATGGAAATAAGTAGAAATAAAACATACAAACGACAGGAAGTAAAGCTGTATGACCTCTGGGGGGGAATAATTTGATAAACTGAGATGAACTATCTGGTCACAAGATTTATTTGGGAAGAGGCAGCACGAGACCTCCAGTAGAAGAAATATATGACTATAAATAGTTAATTTAGCTTCAACCCGTGACATCACTGGCATGAAGAGTAAGCTCTTTTAGAAGAGCAGGTGTGATTATTTTTTCTTCTGCTATCATAGTTCTCCATACTCAAACACTATACAAATTTGGTGTCACTGAGGTCTTTCTTTGTAGCATAACTGCAAAGATAAAGAACGTTGGTCTTCCTATGTCTTATGAGTGATCTTCCCTTACTGTACATGTTACCTGTTTACTTACTCAAAATATTTTTTTCGAGTTAAACATACAATCAAGTAAGACTCAATGGTTCTATCGGGTTTTACCCCCCAAAAGATGATCCCACAAAACAAAATGAGCAGATAAAACATCATGTCAAACATGAAACAAAAAGTCAAGAACATCACATATTCCCAGAAATCCCGAAAGTTCCACTTAGGAGGTGGCAGAGCCTCACCTTGTCTTCCAACTGTGATTGTGAACCACATTACTGCACTATACAAAAAGTATCCACACCGCCACTTACCTGTAGCTCCATCCTCAGATTCTCTACCGTCAGCTTGGTCTGCTGTAGCTCCTCCCTCATCATGTCTCTCTCTTGTCTCATCGACTCGTGCTCAAGAGAAGACACACCCCCCGACTCCCCAACAGGCCCTGCACCATCCCTCAGGCTGGCTATAAGCTTTTCCTTGGACTGCAAAAAAAAGGAAAAAATATATATTATCAAGCTGAAATAACAAAACACTTTCAACTTAATTCATTCTCTGCCCATTATCGATATATTGGCAGCACGACCGCACCGTTTTCGTCCATTACCGATACATCGGCACGGGCTATACTCAAACTTTATTTAGTTCATAAATGCTTGATCCATAATTTTAAGTTTTAATATAAACAAATCTCAAAAGTAAAAACTTCCTGCAAAGAAATATAGTGTTTATAACTATGTAAGTGGGTGGAAAGTTGAAATTGTTGAAGTATTTTGTGTGGTGTGTTTGTGAAAACAAAACAAGAAAAATTATCACACTCATTTCTAGTTCTAGAATCTAGCTATGTTTTCTGGGCCTGGTAGTAAATAACCCTATAGGCATATATAACTTGTAAAACAGACTAGGGAATTTTTCTTTAATAAACTAAATGACAGAGATGATATTGTCTTAGAATCCTTAGCTTTAGATTCTGATTCGGGGGTTGATTGAATCGAGAGTGAGAAGCGTGAAAGACATATTGGCAGATCTAAATCAGCAAAGAAGATAGTTGGAGACATGGAAGTGAGTGAATATGCTTGGAAATGAAAGGGAAGGAAAGCCAAGAGAAGTGAAAATCAAGAGGATAATGACCTAGACCTAGGTCTAAATCTAAATCTAGACTTGGACAAGCAAGTGCAACTCGGGCAAATTCTTATTTATTACAACTTTTGGTATTGTCACAGTGATGTTACAAAATTGATCATAAAATCAGCTAGAATTGCACAATTTCATACCTTTTTGCATGAACATGCGTAGGAATCTTTTTCCGAAATATACATTTTATTATTTATATTCAAAGTCGGACATTTAGTCTGTCTTTTTATTAGCTCCCATATGATGAACGTGTTCTCTGACAAGTATCAATTACGTCCTTTGCCTAATCAAATATTTTTTTACACATTTCAATGCTACATTTCATTACCTTTCAAAGTATGTATGACACTACCTATTTATTATTTAATTTTACTTATGAAAATCCTTCCTGAACACATACACACCTATCATTCACGAACGAATGCACAGAGAAAACCGGTGAAAGCTGGTACAAAAAATGGGCAGAGAATGAGTTATGGTAACACAGCAATGTGCCAGAGATAAATTTACTGACCCATATTATGATATTTTCTTCACACTGAGAGGTCATAGAGAATGAAATGCAGAATTAACATTCATAATGAGTAGACATACATCAAAAACACTCACTAAATCATAAGTTCATATCTTTAGGCTTTGAAACTTTTAGGACCTCACAGTACAGTTTTAAGTCAGTAAAATATTCCATCATATCAACAGCATTTTGACAGTCCATCCATCATTTCACGCCAAAAAATATATACTTTCTCATATCACTTGGACAGTTTAGTATTAGTAAGAGTTTTACAGCATTTGCAACACAATAAGGTCATATAAGTGCCAAAGATTAAAGGTGTTACAAGAGAGTAACATACACATGAAAGGAGGAGAGACCAGGACAAAAGATATTAGATAGGAAAGGAGTAAGCCACACCAGAGCACCTGCCAACCATCTGCTCACTTGGACAGTTGATTGTGAACATGATTGTACATGTTTTACATCATATTACTTTGACTCTCTCTATCAGGGCCACCAGTGTCAGTGGTGTAGTGGTTAAATGCTTTGCCATCACAGGTAGAAGTAGAAGTGAGTATGACTCCCATGTGGGAAGCTCTTTTTATCGAGTATTTACATCTGTCTATTGGGACGCTGTATCTCTCTCTGCCCTCGTTGACCCTTACAGGCAGGGTTCAAGCAGCCTGCTTCCTTAATAATTTATCTAGTATCTATTAGCTAGATTTACTGTCAGAGCCAACCCAGAGCAAACAGGGGTACAACATCTGAGCAGAAAGAAGGGGATACTCAATAAAACTGAACCAAACTCATGCCTTCGGTGTCAGTTAAACAGCAAAGAGCCAAATATTGCACTTAACACAGCAGTCCAGTAGGATAGCAAAACCTACCTGCAGAATGCGCGCTGCTTTGTCCTTGTAATCAGTTAACTCTCTCCGCGAAGAGTCCGCTGTAGTTTTGGCAGCTTTCAACTGGCCGGACAACTCAGAAATTTTGGCTGTAGAGAATAATTATAACATTGTTATTATATAACATCTGTGCAATTTCAATACAACTGACCTGAGCGTGCGCTACCTTTGCCCCTCTGTAAACTGAGTGCCCACCTAAGAGTTCAGGGAAGTAATACAAACAATTCACCCCAAGGGAGCCCAGGCAATCAGGTCCTGTTTGGCTCGGGGGAGAGGGGCAGGGAAGGCAATTTTCAAACCTAAAGACAGAAGTTCCATGCTTTCTCTTTAAGCATTTGATTTGAGTTTTTGCATAGTGCCGGACAAATGTAACCAAACCTGTACTGAAAAAAAAAAGATAAAAAGGGTGAATTTTCATGCAAGAAGGAAAAAATATCTATTCGTACATCTTTCTCAAACAAATTATGAATGCACGCACACACACATAAACCAGCTCATATCATGAATGCACATTTAGTACAGTAAACAAACAGACTCCTTAGCCATCAGGCCATCAGCTGATACCCAGTGCACACTACCAATTAGATTCATCTGCCACATTCTCATTCTTGGATGAAGAAAAAGCTACCATTCTGGCACACTGCAACCCATTCAACTCACGACCTTGAAAACAAATGCGTTTGCTTTAGAAAGTCACAGTCAAATCTAGTTGATTTTAGTTGTACTATGCCAAAACGGTAGCAGCCATGAAGAAAAATCTGGCTGGTCCTAACTGAAACTGATGAATCCAATTGGCAGTGTGCAGTGAAAATATTCTACAACTGATTTCAACAAAAATATAAAAGCATCACATTCAAATCTGAACCAAATCCAACATTCTCCCCCTCTCCCCACAGAAACATTTTGCTTCTCAGTAGTGTCCTGACAGGCTGTCAAAAGATCTAACTTTGAAATGGTCTTCACTATGTTTAGCAAGATCAAGGTATTACACTTTGAGAAGAAAAAAAGATTTATGCTACTGGTACCTTTCTCCTCCGACAGTCTTTTCTCCGCAGTCTTCACAGCTTCTGCCATGGACCGTTGCTCCTGCTCTAGGCGACTTTGCCGTTCTCCAGCCTCTTGCTGAAAGGGGAAATATTAAAAAAAGAACATGTTATCAAGGAATTGATAAATGGTTAAGATTTTATAAAACAAATGTATCCATCATACCAATATCTTTAATCAAAATGTAATTCATCGCGAAAGTTTAAAGCCCAAGCTTATAAATGAGTGTCACTTACCAGACAGGCTGCTTCGACCTAGCATGACTAACCAGTACAATGTGGCATGATTCATAACAGCCAGTTGGAGTTATCCCATAAAATATGTACCAAACATGAATTCTCTTAATGCAAGACAAAGAGTCTAACCATTACTCCATAGATGTCAGTATGAGGTAGGTTATTATTATGCCAATGACATTATTTAGTGAGAATGTATAAACTGATCAAAAACAAAAGATGACATATAAAATACAATGGCACAATTTTTTTTCTCTAATGTAAATAAAACAACATAAATGCCAAAAGGACTTGCCACGACATGTTACCCAACCATATAAAGGTCTAAATAAAAAAATCAGAATAATAGTACTCTATAGGTATACCACAAAACAGTAATAGTGATTAAAATCCTTCAAATATATACGGCAAAAAGTTTCTTATAAACGTAAAAGGGATTTGCTTTGAAAGCCTTAGAAATACCTACGCCAGTATTCCTATTCTCTCAGACCTTCTAAGCAGTACTATAAATATATAAGAAATATCTTAGAACCTCAGAAATGATAAACAGTATAGCCATCCGTTACTTATAAGGGTCAAGTACAAACTGAAAACATTGCTACCGATAACACTCTTTGACTTTAAGAGCAATACCTGAGCTTGCTTGTACGCTAGCTGTTCTCTTCTCAAAGCTGCCTCTACTTCTTCCAGTTTTTCTTTCATAGAATCAAGAGCTTGGCCGTGCAGCCCACTGGAGTCAGAATGGTCCCTCAATATTCTATGAAAGTTTTAGAAATTAATTAATTATTAATAATAATAGTGATAATAAGGATAATAATAACCCCTCCGTTACTGGTAATGCAAATGGGTTTTTTTTATTGTACAGTTTAACACTGAAAAAATAAAGATAACAAAATTATCTTAAAAATAAAGTTAACAAGACAAGCAATATTACCAATTAAACACAAAACACATCTGGGACAAAATTTAACCTGAAATATGTACCCCATGCCATGTCAACACATGTTGGATTAAAAGTAGCAAAAATCTTCAAATTTTTTTTTTACATTGATTTTTTATAATCCACCATATTTCCTGTTTTTTTCTCCACCAAAAAGCCTTTCTGCTCGCTTCTTTCGCCCGCCATGATTCACTCTCTAATACAACTTTCCCTACACCGAACTTTGCAGAACGGGGGCAAGTTGTTGCCTTGTGCATTATCTCTTCTAAAGAGGAAGCGCACTGACACATGAAGAAACAATACAGTTCAAGTGCCTTCGTGTGGCAGAGGACTTCCGGCACGCACCTGAAATGTGCAGACTCTGACCTAGATCTACTTTCCTGAGAGGTGTCTTTTGCAACAGCATCCATAATATGCATATCAAAATATAACAAAACCAAAAACACACAAAAAAAGATGCACCAATTACAATAAATAGACATACATAAAAAAAACTGAACATAAGAAAAATGGACTGATTATGTCAACTCTATCAGGATATGATTCATATGGGACGACACCTTAAAATGACAGATTCCATCATCGATAAGTTCAGAACATGTCAAGAAAGATGTATACTGAATTCATTCACATGAGCAATTACCCAATATATTTACCTTTCTCTCTCAAGTTTCACTTCTTCGAGATTCTGTTCCCTAGAGGAAACTTTTCTGTCCGCCTCATCCAATCGTACCCTGAGAACAGCCAGCTGCGAGTCTTTAGCATTGAGAGCCTCCGTCAGATCTGACTCCCGAGCCTGCAGTTCCCTCACCAGCTGGTCGTGCATTGCTGCAGAGTTTGACTGGCTGTGAAGCTTTTCTTTTGACCTTGACAACTCTGTGAAACAAAAAGTATCAGCATCAGTTCACTTGTTCGTCTTTTTTCCATACGAAATGTTTTTGTACTCCATCATAACAGGAGTAAGATTTATTGTTAGTGCATAGCAGGTCTGTTGTTACCTGCCACCTCCCAAACCCACTGACGGCGTAAGGGGAGGGGGGGAACTAATGCATTTATTCCAAAGTTACAAGAATCCAAGATTACTATAGCTAGAGGATAAGAAAGATGAACATTCAGTAATTCAAAACAGCTGTAGCAGCACGAGACTGGGACGTCCTGTACCCAACACAATGTAATCAGGGAGGAACAGGGTCGGGTAGCTTTCTCAGGAACTAAAAGACACCTTAACAAGTCATCCTCAGATAATACCCTTTAAACTGTATTCTCATCTCAGCTACAGAGGTAAAACACTACTGCATCTCACCTGTCTCTGCCTCCTTCGCCCTTTGTATCACGCTTGCCATCTCTTGATTCAAGGAGGCCACCTCATTTCGGAGGAGTCTGTTTTCCAGTTCCAGAGATGAGAACTGCCGATCTCGCTGCTCTGTGGGTACCTCAGCATGATCACTTTCAGGGTTACTTTGGTCACTGGCCACAGGGCTCTCTTTCATGGCATCAGCGATCACGTCAACATCAGCAGACGTGTGAGAGTTGGTGGGGCTATCTCGTTGAACATTGCCATCTTCATCCGCAGTATCTGCTGCAGCAGCTAAGGAAAGAGTACAAGGGTATATATATGCAAAATATGATACTTAAAAGAGGGAGGCTTCTTCACTGATGAAAGAAAGGGGGGAAAAACAGGAAAGATGAAAAAGAAATTTTAAGGGGTGGGGAAATGAAGAGAGAGTAGGGTGTAAAATGGGAGCTAAATTTTAACCCAAAAAAAAGTCACTTCCCCCCCCCCAAAAAAAAAAAATTGCCCAACACATCAGAAGTGAACTGCATATTAATCAACAATCTGCATTTTCCCTACATGCCTGCTCACTCCAAAAGAAGAAAAACAGCTGCAAACAACCGAAGACTCACTGGATAGACAAAAGAGGGCCTAATCTCATCTTTTCAATACAAATAGCAAGGCTCAATGATTTGACCATCAGACTATTCATGTTCATTCTACAGGGCTTCATGTCCTGTTTCGAACCCCTGTACTTAAGAGTTAAAATAAACGTTTAACACACTCACAAGAACAGACAAGCTTATCATTTACAATGAAAATTTACAGATCCATAGCTTTCCTTACTTGGAGCTTTTGTGGTGGTGCTTGGGGCTACAGTTGGTTCAACAACAGTAGCAACAGCTGAAATATTCAAATTGTCAGGTTTTGCACTTTTCGATGAAATGATCGAGGACGTGCTGGACTGTCGAGAGTGATGCTGACTGCTGACGGGTGTACGCCGCTTTTTGGTGCTGTCAGATGCGTCTTTGCTGTTCAGAAAATCAAAGAGAGCATCATCAGAGTCTTTCTTTTTCACAGTTTTCCCGGATGTTTGTGTTGTGGGAGCTGAGGGTGGAGACGATGACGAGGCAGCAGGCAGCACTGGAGCAGGTACCTTTGCAACGCTCCTGATTGGTGCACTGACAAATGATGATGACTTGTCTACTTCGTCTTTGTAACTGTGAAGCCTGGAAGGCACACTCTGTGAAGGGCTTAGAGGTTTGCCAAAAGCAGGCTCAAAGCTGGACTCAGTGAGTACAGGCTCCTTGAGAGGAGCAGGAGTTACTTTTTCAGTTTCATCAATATGCAAAACATCAGCAGCAGACTTATCCAGCCGGTTGAGGAAATCCTCAGCTTTTCCAGTAACTGCAGAGAACCATGACATCTTCAAGGATGGCTGAGAGAACACCGGTTCCTATCCTAAGACAGTACAATATCATGAGTCAGTCTTGTCTGAAAAACAAAAAAGGGAAGTTACTGTAACAATGGTCTAAGAAATTCATTTACCATCAAATAAGTAGAGAAACGACTTATAAGATTTATTGTGCCTCTATAGAATATATGGAACAATTTAATAAGCATTATAATGAGTTATTCTACAGAAATGTTGCTACAAACACTAATACTAATAGAAAAAATAAGAACAAATTCAAGACCAGAGATACCTGAAACACAATTCAGTTTTGTTACTGACTAGGGTATCCAGTTGGTTATATTATATATAGACCATAACAGTGTTAACTTACTGGAGAGATATCTGTATATATGTACGTGTCTAAAAAATGTGAAATCAGGCGCTCTTCAATTTTAAAAAAATTGTTTGGAAGCTTGTTCATTTGTATTGATTTTGAAGAATGAAAAAAAAAATACCCATTTAACTTGAATGGAAGTCAACATACATATATCTGCGATAGAAGGAGATAGGGGTCGCCTGTTGTCAGAGGGTAAATTAAAAAGAAAATGGCCGTTAAGTCGAGTGATTTTTAAAGTTTTGAGTGTCCTTGGAAACTGCAAATTTACATTTTTTGAGCCTTTGGTAAATATTTTTCAGCCAAAAGTCAGAATCCATGTCTCAAAGTAAATGGAGAAAATATAACATCAGATGCCAATGTCACAATGTAGCAGAGTCAGTAAAGTAAACAATCCATAAAGGGTTATCTTTAAATGTAAAGAAAACATAAATACATTGTAAAATCTAAGCAAAGGTGAAAAGATTTAAACAAATTCAACAGTTCAAATGTCAAGGAATAATTACATTCAATGTGAAAAAAAATATCTATAAATTGGATTAGCAGAGAAGAGTTTCGATAAAAAAGAGTCCTGTCCGGAAAAAAAAAACCAAACACCTCAATGACCACCAAAATAACAATCTAAAAAGGCTATATGTGTGAGGTCAACCCTTCTTAAGAGCTGTAAAAACTGGACGATTAACAAATGAAGTGAAATTAAACTTGAAGCAATAGAAATGTGGTTTCTTCAGAGACTATTGTTGAGAATCTCTTTGAAGAAAAATAAAAAATAAGGTAGTGCTGAAAGAAGCCCACATGTATGCCACTCATTAATAAAAACAATTAGAAAGAGATCATGAACTTGCTCTCACTGTGTAGAAATAGATGACAAAAGAGGCACTGGCCAGTACAAAAATAACATTTAGTATTTAGCTGACAGAACTTAAACAGAAGTCACCAGGAAATAAGGATTGGGTTGTTGTTTTTTCAAAGCACCTAACTTTAGCCCCAAGCTTAACTCCTGTTCTGCATCTGTGCCGGGATGCACTCTTTTATTATATCTAGATCTACTGATAAGACCCAACTTCTTACCGCGGACGTTCCCGGCAGGGGCCAAAGAGTGTACTGTTAGTGTACAGTGAATGACCCCGGAAATGTGTGTTTTCACTGTGAATACCGTGGGGGTGTGTTAATCAATGATAAAAATAATTAATGCTCTATCTTTAATAGCTTTCTATTTTTATAAAGTGTTACGAACAATGAATAACCCCCTCTCATAAGCTGATAAGTCATTACGAGTAGTTACGCCCATTCAATGACCTTTTAGACGCTCTTGTTGTTACAAATGATCTGGGGTCCGAAAGGAAATAATATAGGTCGATTTCGGAATGTTTTGCTCTAAAAATTTTCTTTTTACCTGCACAATGGTTAAACTATCAAATAAGCTTATTTTTATCAGGTCAGCAGATTAGAAAGATTTTGTATAGAAAAATGTAAGTCTTGTTTCCTTGCTATCCTGTCCAGCTCCTCAAGTCTAAGTGGGTAAATTTTTTCTAATTTCATTGGAAGATCATCTAGAGCTACCAATTAAGTGTGTTTCTAGAAGTAGGCCAACAAGCGTACACAAACTCAAGCAGACTGATGTTCACACACTTGAGCTGCAGGAATACGAGACCCGGTCATCACACTGATGATGCTCAGCGTACGTGCGCTGAGCCAGGGCCAGACTGATGCGGGTGCGGACAGAAGGTGAGGTGCCAAGATACGCTTCTGGGGGAACATAAACCCAGCACCCAGGGGACATGGGTTAAAAAGAGAAATTTGTGGGAAACCATGATCATGAATGTCTGTTTTAGATCTGGTAGGCCTAAGTTACTACTTATTTATGATGAGAAAGTACAAAAGAAAATGTTTTACACACACATAACATTTCCAGTTCAGAATTAAAGTAGCTGTGTGACTATTCAGACACAGGCACGGTCCTGTGGAGACTAAGCCCTGACCCCCAAGGGTCATTTCGGATAGAGATTGATTTTCAGCTCCCTCCAACGCCAATTGCGCATTTCCCAGTCACAGCAATTTTATGCAAACTGCAAAGATGCATTGGTCCAAAAAGCAAGAGAAGCATGTCATTCTCAAAAAGATAAAGATCCACAATGTACGGTACTCGCATTCAAGCTAGAGTAGAAGGACACATGTGTCCGAATATACACGGGAGCTTGTTGAACTGACATGTGTCCCAATAGGATGGATGCAGCCTAAAACTCTTGTCGTGCGTCTAGTGCCGAGATGCGAATCTTATCAGCAACCTATTACGTCGGACGTTCCGGCGGGCCGCCAGGGTCACACAGCGTGTACTGTTGGTGTACAGCAAGCAGGCCTGGAAACGTGTCTTTTCGCCACGAATACAGTGGGAGTGTGTTAATCGATGATGAAAATAACGCTGTACTTTTTATAGTTTTCTATTTTATGAAACCAAGGAAAGGAATTCTGAATGTTCAAATATGTTAAAAACTGAATAAAAATCTTTTTTTTTTAAAGTGATTTAAATCACTGATTTTTATTTTAAAAATCAAGTTTATTTAAATTTTAAAAATCATCTGATTTAAATCGACCTGATTTAAATCAACCCAACCCTGATTCTAATTTGAGTTTTTTCGGGGGGGGGGGGGGGGGGGTTGGTATCGCATTGCACAATTAGAATTAGATCTATCCCTACCAAAGATAGATAACAAGATTATTCACTCAGCCCGAAAAGTGTTCGCAGAAGTCAGCGCATTGCTTCAGATGGCACTGGAGTCTTTATTTTCAAGCTCTCTTTCCTTTCTCCAGAAGAAGAATAGGATAAGCAGTCTGTTAATTTCACTTTTTTTTTCCACACAAGTAGATTTTAGGGACCGTTTGCAAAATCCGCACTTTTTCGAAGAGGGCGCCACCAAATTTTGAGGCCACTTTTTTATTTTGGCTCAAAAAGAGGAGTGAACTAGATCTATCTTGTTATCCATGATCTTTGTCTCTACGCGAATGAGGGGGAAAAATGAGGAAACGCTAGATCTAGATAATTGCCGTCCTTCTTTTGAAACGCCCTGTGCCAATAATACTTTGTAGAATCTAGATCTAGCTAGTATTCACACACCCTGTGCGAACATTATTTCATAGTATTCACACACCCTGTGCGAATAACATAGATATCTAGATCTAGTACATGATGTATTCACAGAGTACACCCCGTGCGAATAAAATTTCACAGTATTCACACTCACACTCACACAGTATTCACACACCCTGTGCGAAAAAAATTTCATAGTAAATACAATTCCATAATATTCACACACCCTACCATGCGAATAACTCAGCGACTCAGCCATCACAAAAATGTAAATCTAGGTCTAGATCTAGAAATCTGGCATGGCATGGGCACTATCACTATACAGTACTATGGGTTTTGAAAGAAATTTTGTTCCTACAGCCTACAGTAGTCAGTGGAAATATGGACAAAATAGTGCGGCACGGGGTGCTTTCAGCCAGATTTGGGTGCGACTGGAATGAGTAAAGAGATCTTACTAAACATCAGCTGAAGGCTGGTCGGAAATCATTAGTTTAGTCGTTGAAGAGGAGACGGAGAGGCTACTTTGTCATGTGTGAGGTGTAAGTGTGGAGATCTCGTCTTTACTTTCCTTGTTATGGCTAGATATCTAGATCTAGATCTAGATTCTAGATTTAGCGCAGGAAGACGATCTGCCTCTTAAGTGTAATCCACTTCAACATACAATCTGGGATAAATCTACACTGTTCATCACAAGACAAACTTCTGAGTAAAATGGAGAGTAAAAACTCAGTTGTCGGTACTAACGTTTTGTTTACTATGGCAGTGGGATCATTCCAAACTTTGTTGTGCTATGGACGTGGAGTCCTCAGGGCGCATGTCTCTAAAATGTCAACTTCCGTATCTTATTTGTAAAACTACAACCTAGGCCAAGTTGTTTTTATATTTAGCAGAACAAAAAAAACAAACTTCAAATAACAAACATCTCGTGACACTTCTCGGTCCCTGTAAGAAAATGTTTCCAATTCAAAAGCCTTTATTCACATTGATAAAAACTTTTCAAAAAAAGATCAGGAAATATGAGTCCAGATGCAGTTTGAAAAATTCTCGGATTCGGGACTCGTTTTCCCGTCTTCACTCTTCAGAGGGGAACAAAACAAGAGAAGCACACCAAGCACATGGACATGGTCTGCTGCGGCTCTAGGACTCTAGACGTGTTACTAAACCTGAACGTCTCGTAGATTTATTGCATGCTGGCTGATTCCTTGCGCTATCATTTGCCTTGAAAAGCTGTAGACTAACTTATTCTCACCCTCTATTTGTTTATTTCATGTTTCATTAAAGATGAAAACCGTGGCTCTTGTCAGGTGAGATGAACAATGATTTTATGTTTTTATTATTATTATGGTAGGCCTTGATATGCAATTAAACGTAGAAGGACGCAAACTATTTTTAGGTAAGGCGGCCATTTTGTGTGATGTCAGACCAGACCACCCCTCCGATCATGTGACTATGTAAATATTGCCAACGGGATGGCACGACACTTTGGTGCGATATTTTTCCAGGAATACGGGTAATGTAGATATCTAGATCTATATATATATATATGATGCGGTGCTCCGATGATGAATAGTATCTTTTATATGGTAAATCAAGAGGAGCGTTCAAAGAATTATTTCAATAGACGCAGTGAACCGGAAAATTAGGAAGCTCAAACCCGTCAATGTCTCAATTCTCAATGAAGGAAATTATTGTTGACATTTGTACGGTGTCAATACTGGAATTCCGAAATGTTATTAACATATACCGGAAACACGTCATTCTATGCGGTACCTCCACGGCCTTCTTAAAATAGTCAGTGGCTATCCCAGATGACATCACATTACTAAAATTAGCTGTCAATCAGAAAGATGTGTCTTCTACGTTTAACGGCATGGCCTTGATGGCCTTGTTATAGTGTGTCTATTATAACTCTATAACAATTATTTTATTATTATGCTGCTTAACTATAATAAACTGAAGGACTTCTGTAACGAGCGACCACCCCAACAAACACAGTAAAAAAGAAGAGACCTAACCCTATTCCTACCCCTAGCTAGCCTTGAAAGATCTTTTCTACTCTGTCTCATATTATATTGGTCTGGTGGTCGCTCCTTACGGAAGTCCTCCCTGGTAAAGCTATAGAGACCTAATTGTAAGTCCGCCTTGGACAGAGGAATTTGAAGAGGATGAGGAGGTGCTTTTTTCCAGAGGGCCAGCGTAGTGTAGGATTCAGGGTTGCTTTTGTGGTCAGCATCTCAGTGTTAATTTCCCTTTCAGTTTTATTGAGCTATAGGCCTTTGCCTGAAAGTTCAAAATTAATGTCAATTCTTGCTGGAGTATTTGGAAAATATTTCATTTATAAAGCTGAAAGGCTGACATAATCACTCTTGTGTCCACAAGTTTACATTTTACAAGACTGTAAATTTAATGTCGATCTCTGATTAGACTATAATACAGTCGAATCTGTGTAAGATGGAATCGCAAGTGAACAGGAAAAGACCAAGGAACTCAACAGCCTATCAAGGAGTGTTTGCCTACGTATACATCCGGAAGAGTTGTGAAGCTTGGAAAATATTCAAGCCCTGCTTTGACAGTGGAAGACAATCTCCTGGAAGAAGTGGACTCCTTTGCCTACCTTGGAAGTGTCATAAATGGTAAAGGTGAAACTGAGACAGATGTTAAAGCATGAACCGCTGAGGCAAGGTCAGCATTCAATCAGTTATCAAAAGTTTGGAAAGCAAGCAACATCTCACTGAGCACCAAGATTCGACTCTTTAACTCCAATGTCAAGTCTGTGCTCCTCTACGGCTGCAAAACTTGAAAGACAACAAAGACAGTAGGCCTACTGAATAAAGTCCAGACTTTCATCAACAGATGTATGAAGAGTATCCTAAGAAATAAGTGGCAGGATAGAATAAGAAATGAAGAGCTGTGGAAAAGGACAGGACCAAAGAATATAAAAGTAGAAATAGGACTAAGATTACTAAGAAAGTGGCGATGGATGGGACATACCTTCAGAAATTCCAGCGGAAACATCACAAGACAATCGCTGCAGTGGAACCCACAGGGAGCACGAGGCAGGTGTAGGCCACAGAAAACATGGAGGAGATGTGTGGAAAGGGACATGAGAGAGATGAAGTTCACTTGGAACGAGCTTGGAAGGATGGCCCTGGACAGAGATAAATAGGTAAGGAGCTTGTATGTGGCCCATACCCTGCAAGGAGTGGAAGGCATTGATGATGCCAAGATCAGGAAACAGTCTGTTGGGATTCAAACCAGCAAAGGGCAGTTCGTGGTGAAGTTTGTAGATTAAACAGCTGTGACTCATATAAAACACCACCTCCTTATCCCGTCTTAAATTCCTTTTACCCCCCACCCACACAGACGCGCGCACACACACACACACACAGATACACAAAACAAAGTAATAGGCACGCGCACATGCATTATACTCTCCATTTTATATGTATACCTATCCTATCTCCACACCTCCCCGAGATTTTGGGTTAGGTAATGTTATAGTGGGCAGTTCAAGCAGCAGATAGGATCAAACAAAACTATGATGAGTGGCTCAAAATCCAATAGATAATAAAGATTAGAGGCATGCTGACTCAGTTTTGTTCTTTGTAATCAACAAAAGCTTAGAGAAGCCGTTGGTAACAAAAGTGTTGTTCGCAACTTGACAAAAAATGCCTCTTTCCACACTGTCTGCCATTATCGAATTTGCCATCTTGGTTGACGTCACCACATAGCATGCTACATCTTGACTAGAGCTGATGACAACAAAGTTGTGTGCCAGCTTTAATAAACTGAGACGAAGGAAAAAATGGCTATAGTGCAACAACACATTAGTGAGCCCTCTTGACTCTCTGAGCTCGTTCGAATCGCCAAAGTGCTATTGGTGGACTTGAAAAATGTTTGTTTGCATTTACTTAAATCTGAATGAAAATCATTGTCATCAAGGAATGTCTTGTCCACTGTCCGGCCGACAATAAGTTGGCAACCCTGCCGGTCTTGCCCAGTTAACAAACCGCTTCTGGATTCAAACCAAGGTCATCTGCAACGTACTTTGTGATGATACCGACTGACATTTTATTCAGTACTCTTTAGAATAGGCTGATATCGTTATTGTACTGTTTATTTTTACTGTTGTTTCAATTCAGAGATTTAATTGAGTGTTGAGACTTGGTACTTTTATTTGAAAATGTATTTAATGATAGCGTAGACAACACAATTATATCGCTTCTAACGACCTAATGTGTTGGTTTCCTTTGACAGTGGTGGCAAAGACAGCTGCTTCAATATGATGTGCTGTGTTGCTGAAGGTCATCAACTTGTGGCGCTGGCTAACCTGAGACCTGAGCAAAAAGGTAAAACATGAGTAGAAGAATTGCTTTGCTCTGCTCTTAATAATGGGTGTTTTATAAGGAAGATCAGGAATATTATAGTCTGAATGAACCCGATATGTTTCTGATCTCTCCCTGCCCTCAGCCCTTGAATTCAACCACAGAGACAAACACTTTGAGCTGAACAGTGTTCCATTTAGAACATTGTCTCCTTTGTTATTGATTATTATTCCTCAAAATGATAATAATAACACTACATGTAAGAGCTTAGTACTGAAGGTATTTGATGAAGATCACTGTCACCCCTCATGTGTCATACACTTACCCCAACTTCCCCCAATTCCCATTCTTATTTTGAATCTCTCTTCATCTTGTTTTCTTAACAACTTTCGCCTAGATTGTACTAACACTAATTTTTTTTTTCAGATGAACTGGATAGCTACATGTTTCAAACAGTTGGCCATCACGCCATAGATCTTTATTCCGAAGCAATGGGATTACCACTGTACACACAGGTCATCACAGGCTCCAGTCTGTCCACTGGTAGAGACTACACGCCACAGCAAGGAGATGAAGTAGAGGACCTGTACGCTCTATTGTCTCGAATCAAAGTTGGTATTTTTAAAAGTACTGTGCATGCGTGAGCATGTGTGTATATGTGTGTGTGTGTGGGGGGG